GATCTTAAACTGGAAGAGTTGGAGCCCGAACAGCCTGGGAGCTTATCGGGCCATCAATTTAAGATCGTCCTAAAACAAATGCAAGCAATGCAAGAATGTCAGGAGGAAATGCTAAGATCAAGTAAAGAGCAATCGAATCAATTACCGTCAACATCCGAGAGGAATGAAAATGAAACAGAGACGAATTTACGAGACAAAGCTAAACCACTCGAACAAGCAGAAAAACTAGAGCAAACAGAAACCAACAGATATCGGTTAACCTTATCCCAATACAGAAGGAAGATTAATAAGCTCAATGAAGCAGTTGAGGGCGAATTGATGGCAGTTAACAAATACGCGCTGGAGCACATGAATTCATCACTGGAGAAACAATTTGATGAAATTCAAAAACTAGAGCTCTCAATGGTACATGGCAGCGAAGATACAGAAATGGATTTGGAAGAAATCGAAGAAAAATATGAAGCAAGGATGTACGAAATTATAATGAGAATGGGCGAAGTAAAGAAGAAACGATGCCAGTAGAATTGAAATCAATTCAGGTCCCATGCTTCGGTGGAAAAGTCGAAGAATGAAGTTCCTTCCAGAACCTATTTAAAGAAATGATTGATGGGAACTCCAAGCTATCGGAGTTACAAAAGCTATATTACCTCAAAACGAATCTAAGAGGAGAAACGTTTCGTATAGTACAACATCCGCAAATAACGGAAGCAAATTATAAAGCTGCCTGGGAATTGTTGGAGAATAGATATGGCAACAAAAGAGTTCTATTCACAAAATTGGTCGATAGAATTCCGGACCATCCAAATATTAGCAGCCATTCAGCACCAAATATAAGGAATTTGTTGGATAACGTCAACGAAAGTGAGCAAGCGGACCCGATAATAGCAAGAATAATTATACGGAAACTTGATAGAGACGGCCTTATTCTCTACGAGCAGAACGTGAAGAAATCAAAAGACATACAGAAACTAGCAGATGTGATGAATTTCTTGGAGCAACAATATCAGGCCTTAGAAGCTTCAGCAGGAAGAACAAATTTTAACAAGGGTGCAAGCAGGCAAACGGAAAAACCAGCAGGAGCGGAGAGAAGGCAATGCAATGTTCCATATTGCAGAAAATTTTCGTCATTTCCTCTGCAAGAAAGGGACGATTGGGTCAGCGCAGGTATGTGTTAAATGTCTCGAACATGGAAGAGACATGAAATGTTATAATGGAAGCACATGTCAAAAATGTGGAGGAAACCACAACACATTAATGCATAGAGAGAAAAAGGGCAACACGAAAGTAATGAATACCAATGCAGCAGCCAATGTTCTACTGGCAACGGCACAAGTACGAGTAAAATCATTGCAAGGAGAATTTGTGACAGTAAGAGCACTAATAGATCAAGGGTCACAAATAACTTCAATATCAGAGGATGTGGCTCAACTGTTGCAATTACCAAAGAAGAAAACCGAAATCATGTTACAAGGCCTAGGTGAGACGGTAGTTGGTGTGGCAAAAGCAAAAGTGGCGATAGAAATTCGGCCAAGATTTGTAAGTGACATAAAAATTGTAGCCGAAGCCCTAGTTCTGCCGAAATTACCATCAGCTTATCCTGATAACAGCTTCCAGTACAACATTCAACGATGGAGGAACGTAAATCTGGCCGATCCAAATTTCAACAATTCAGAAAGAATATATCTGGTAATTGGGGCTGACATATTCCCACAAATATTGGAAAAGGGAGTTCGGCATGAGGAAACGATCGTGGGGCAGAACACAATGAAGCCTGGGACTACTAGCAAATATGCGTATATAATCCCGCCGGCAGATCCTCATGTTGGAGGAAGAATAGAAGTAGAGCCTCACGACTCGCCACAAAGTGATGCTGCTCAACAACAAAGACAGCCGTCGCTTCTAACGAAAGTTATTGCTACCAAGGTGACCGGTACCGTTAAATGGTTCAATGTCAAACGCGGCTATGGTTTTATCATTCGGGACGACACTAAAGAAGATGTGTTTGTCCATCAGAGTGCTATCATCAAAAATAATCCCAAAAAAGCCGTACGCTCAGTTGGCGATGGCGAAATTGTCGAATTCGACGTTGTCATCGGCGAAAAGGGCAGTGAGGCTGCAAATGTAACCGGCCTCTTCGGCGAACCTGTACGTGGTAGCCAATTTGCTGCCGATAAACAGCGTCGCAATCGCAATACACCATGGCGATGGTCAAGGCCAAGGTGGACAAATAGGTCCCCGACGCAAGAATCGTTCAGGTCGTCCAAATAACAGAAAACCCAACAACGGCGTAGGACAAAACAATCAACAGCATAACGTTAACCAATGCGCAAGCAGCGCATAAAACATATGGCTAAATAATTGCAACACTTTGTAACAACAACAAACGGTGACCGGAAAACAGCAAAACATATAAAAATCGATGAAAGGAAATTAATTTCAAAAACATATCAACTCAAAATCTACCACAAAACTGCTACATCTATACCGCAATCAAGAAAGAAAATTGCAAAAAAACAAATGACAACAACTAAGAAACCAAATAGTGAGTCCAACGGAGAAGGAGAGCATAAAACCACTAGGAAATGTACTGGTCAATCATCATGAATAAATCAAACAGTTGAAGAAGGAAAATGTGGAATTGATAGGCATATCAGAAATTCAATTTCCCCGGGGACAGGATATCTAAATAAGTTATTTTGCCGCCCCGGAGAATGTTCATAAAAATATGAACATGAAACTGGTATTAGTTTAAGATTTTTGGGCATTGGTACTTGTCATAAATAATACTTAAGTGTTAGACATAATATGTAAACTCACATAAATTCTATCGGTGTGGGCATATATGCGCATAAGGGATGATAACACTCAACGCTGCTGAAGACGCATAGCTAATAAAGGATATCTCCACACAAATGCGCGCAGCGGGTGAGTAAATAGAGATCACCACATTGTGGTTTTATGAGTGTGTGAGCTGACAACGAAGAATTGATAGCAGCCCACAGACAAAGATGTTGGTGTGCCCATTTGGGTAATCTAAACAAATGAACACACTTATCTATAGGGCCAATGTTATCTCTTATGTGTATTAGGCTAAGTTAGATTAGTTTAGGTAGTTCTTAAGGAATAATTTTAAACAATAAAATCAGAATGGAATTGACTTTCAAGAACAACAGTCTAATATCTTTCTCCCGCAACAACCATAGAATGTCATTTTATTCGTTGTCCAGATCCATTTCCCGGTTAAATTACATCGTGTTCGGATCATACATACGGTCTATAGAGCAATTAGAATCAGACAAAGATGTTGGTCCATTTTATACAATAAATATTATCCGATTAATACAGAAAACTATAGGTTCCACCAGGAACATAAAATATTTTGTAACGTTTGGCGCGATATTTGATAACGAGAAAAAAAGTTGGAGATTAATTCCCACATTCCAGTATATACTTCAATATTCTTTGTATAAATTTAAAGATCAATCACTAATCATATATAAACTGTAACCTTCCGCGATCTAAATTTTTCTGGAGTACATTTTGTCATTTTTTACACAAAAGTCTCAGTTAATGTAACAGGGCAAATATTAAAGTATATTCATCAAAACATCCATGCTATTTCCTGAGCAGATACCCTTCCCCGTGTAAAATTTAGTCTTGTTCGGGTCATAATTCTGATCCCTAGGGCGACCAGAATAACAGACAAAGGCATAAAAAACAAAACTCGAAAAAGTTTTAGGTCCATTTGAACCTATAGGTGTCGACTTTGGGCAGAACCGAATTCACATACAAAGGGCGATTGGTCCAAAACTACAAAATATAGTGGACATACGGGCGGAGAAGAATGTCTAAATCGTATCAGCTAGTCGAAATATATCGGTGGTCTTGAAGCAACATTTCGCTGTTTTACTAACTCTTGGGACTATAATATTCCTCACTACATGGTTGTGTACAGTAAACAAATATAGAAAAAATGTATTTGTGCCGGAAAAAAATGCCCAAAATCCGCCCAAGCCCTAAATTTTACATTTTTTATGTCCACTTTTGGGCACTTTCGGCAACACTGGTCGGAACACAAAAAGATGTATTTATTACCATATTTTATTTATTTAGTTTTATATTTTTATTGTTTTTCAATAAAGTTTTAATATAAGTAATAAGTATAAAAATTATTACAGAAATATAATTAACTTGTTATTATTTTTTTATTTTTTACTTCACTTTTCTGACAAAAATGGTTTGGGATCTGAAAATGAATTATTTTGTTCGACATTGCCTACTTTTAAAAGATACACACTTTTTAAATTTGTATTTGTTTATATGTTATAAAGAATTAGTAATATTATATTAGCATCAACAGTTTAACATAATAAATATTTTATAACTAAAAAATGTCGTCTAGTGAAAATTCAATCTGATGCCAACTCGTAACTGAAAATTCCATTGCCTGATAATCGATTGCACTGATCGGAAAAATGTATTGCATAAGTCTACCTGTACAAAAATCATAAAAAGAAAGAATATTCAAATAATGGATATATGAAACCATTTTTTATGTGGTTTTGTAATATTTATCCCAAAATTTTATAACAATTTTTTTTTCGCATATCCGCGTAATATGTTCTTTCCATAAAAAACAGGTAATAATTATGTTGATTGTGTAACAATCACCAAATTATGAATATTTTTCGCTAAAATTTCCTAAAGGTATGAATCATAGATGGATGTAGGTTTATTTTTTTTATTTGTGATTTCTGCATTTTACCCTTTAACAAAAAATTTTTCATACTAACATTTTACAAGGAGATCTCCCAATATTATGGGGGAAAACATGTTAGTTGTGTAAATTAATGAAAATTGTATCCATAGCTGTATAATTTTGTCAAATGGACCATTGGAACACTTCGACTTTTAGTGTACCGACCAGTGGAACACCACGATTTTAAGTATTCCTGCAAGTGGAAAACTGAGATTTTTAGTGTTCCGACCCGTGGAACACCATGATTTTTAATGTAACGCAGTCAGCAAACTACGATTTTCGGAACAGTAACGTTAAAAATATTTTTAGTGTTTGTGTACCGGTACAGTAAGTTATTTTAGTGCACCTATCCACCCGGGTACGGTACAGAACACTGTGGAACCATAATGTTTATTTTCGAACGCTGGTGAAGTCTATAGTTTCAGATCTCGTCACTGATAATCATCAGTTCCCCCAGTTTTTTCTTTTTTTAATATTCTTCCCAGAACAACAAAAACATTTCATACCCAAAGATACAAGTGACATTTGGGTATGAAATGTTTTTGTTGTTCTGGGAAGAATATTAAAAAAAAACAAATCGAAGTACTTACGTTATCAACAAACTGGGATTGCGCCCAAGTATTTTGCAATAAAAAAAAATAAAAATTTTAGTAAATTTGTCGAAAATTAATGGGTTATTGATAACAATTTCAGCATATAACATTTGGTTTGTCTGCGTACTTTTCCAGTAATAATTACTCAGTAAGTTCTTTTGCGAGAGCAAGGAAGATATTCTGCAAACAATAAAATTACAAAACGTAAAAATAATTTTTATTAAAACATTATAAACTTGTTAAAAAAATATTAGCTGACATTTATATCCACTGTTTCTGCTTATAAAAAACAGCAGAATCTTTAAATACTCAGTAATAAAAAAATTTACACTATTTTAGAGACAACTTTTAAATGTATTTTATACAAATTCCTACAAAATATCGAGTACGCTGACAGACTTATTATCATAAAAATAAAGCTTAATATATTTAACCTTTTTGAACACCGTTTGCCATAAAATCTTTATAGATCACAACAACGAATCAAAAAGTCTACATTCGAGCATTTGATGGCATATCGGCTGCTAAAGGATTTCACTATTACCTTAAACACTGGCAAAATAGAAGTATATATTGGTATAATGAACCCATAAAAATGAACAATCTCATAATTAAACCAAATGTCAACATATCATCAAAATGTGAAAGTTCGTATATTTATTATCAGAATGTGTGTGCATGGGGCTACAGTTATGTATGGTGGAATTGGACAACATGGGTAAAACATATAGACTGGATGGTAATGATGGGCATAAGTCTATCAATAGCACCCATACAAGAGGACATTTGGTATAACACGTATATGGAAATGGGACTGACTGAAGACGAGATCAACAAACATTTCTCAGGGCCGGCCTTTTTACCATGGTAAGTGCACTAAAAATGAATAAAATTTACACATTACAGATTAATATAATATATTGTATATTTACTAAACAATCTGTAAACAAATATTTTCCTGTTGCTCCTCTTTGGAGCACAGGGCTTCCACAAAACATTTTGCACCTTCCCATGTTTTAGTTCTTGTGCTATTGTTCGGCGCCAGGTGTTTCTTGGTCGACCTCGATATCGTGATCTTTGGATTTCTATTCAAGCGCCATTCTGATTATGCTATGGGTATTTTATCTTAAGGTGGAGAACCCGATATATCTGCATATTATCCTGAGGTATTCTTGTACACAATAACTGCAGCTTCTGCACGATGGTGTTAGACACTGTTTCACCACCGTACATCAGAATCAATTTTATACATGCTTCCCCCAAATTATGTTGTCTCCCAGTTTAGCGTCCTCATTAGGTCCTTTTCTGCACCACCCCTTGTTGTTAATCAGATTAGTTTCTGGGTTACTTCCTTTTTGTTTAACCCTTTCAGTGTTTTTGTCGAATATATTCGACATTTAAAAATTCTCTCTTTCTTTGCGATTTTTCGGTTATCCTATGTACCGTTAACATTGATGTTTTTGTTTTTGCCGAAAAAACAGACAAAATTGTCCGAGGGTTAAAATGAAAATTGCTTTTTTTTTCTAAACTCTATGCCTTTATATGAGTTTAAAAACAATATTTTAGATTTTTATTCCGACAAAATTTTTTTTTGACACTGAAAGGGTTAATGCTTCCCATATCACAAATCATCGGGAGTGGATGTAAGCATATTTTCTCCTCTGCTGGAATTTGAAACCGGGTTTGCAGTCTGATACACTATCCACTGCACTAAGCCACCCCATAACTACTTATATATTTCATATTTCAACGAGTGACGAATTGAGCTAAACCTTTGGTCAATTCGAGATTCAGATTGATCCATCAATTGAAAACTCGCATCACAAATTTATACAGTCCAAATTTATACAGTCAACCTTTCACAAATTGTCAAAGGTTCGGTTTTGTTTTGTTCTAAGGTCGTTTTGTAACATCGCATAACCCCGGCTTCGTTTGTTTCCCGCCTATCGTTGGCTTCTAATTGGATGCTTGCATTCGGCAGCATAATAATAAAACAAACATCGAAAATATTATTGTCGCAAAAATCGTTGCTTTTCTTCTGTTTGTTTGGTTTTTATAAAACAAGTAAACATATTTAACATATCGTTCCCTTGAAATTCTCTTCAAACGTTGTTGTTGGCGTTGAGAAACTACTTTTCTACCCATGTTTTACTGTATAAAGCTAAAACTGCAATATTGTATTTAATATTCCGATTTTCGATAAAGAAACAATCACTGGTTTAAAAGAGATTCGATACGGAATCAACAGTTGCATATCGTCAATGTTGACTTACAACGGATCAATGGGATCCTATGTATTCGTTTTTCAACAACGTTTGCCGAAACTTACTCTGGAATTATGGGAAGAAAGTGTGAAAAAATCGGTTCTTTCTTCGTGAAAAATTTAGACAGCTTTCTTTCGCAAAGCATAAACACGCTCGTGTGTTTGGAAAGTTACAGAAACACATTCATTATTTTGGATAAATCGAAATCTGAATACAGGTAGTAAGCCCAATTCAAAAATATTGTGCTCTCCATCAAATAAAAAATTGTGACGCAAATTTAAAGAATTACCCTCCGCAAATTCATTTGCATTGCTAAAGCGACAAAATCGTTGTCTAAATTCTTTAGTAAAGGGACATAAACTAGTAAATTGTTTAGTAAAATAAGTTATTGGAAATGTGGTCAACGATATGACACCTTATTACATCGCGAGTCTACAAGACCAAATAATTCGGTTGAAGCTCCAGGGGCTTCGTCAAGCTCTTCAAAATCGTTGTCAGCTTCATCCGCCGTTTTTCGTCCCTCGAAACTTATATCCTCCACATCGTTTGGATTTTATTTCTTCAAAATAGTTGCACAAAATGCCAAAGAATAAATTGATTTACTTTGTTTATTGGTAAATAATGTTGTTAAGCGACCTTCGGAAAAATCGAATGTATTCTGAGTCTTCGTTTATTTCAGAACCGTCCTTCAATCTTTCCTTGGGATTAGAAAGATATGTTATGTATTTCAGGAAATTTACCGTCGTTTGTAGTCAATTCTGTCTTCACAAATTCCGGATCTTCGATTGGCAGATGTTAATTTTTTGAATTCTCGTCCGGTCGATCTGCTACTAGGAGCTGATCTCTATCCCCAAATTCAGTTCGGTGGGTGTCGTCCGATTTTATCTGGAGCTTTACTTGCTCAAACTTCTGTATTTGGCATGTTATGGGTCCTGTCCCTGGAGCCCCAATTAAGTTATTTGCCACCACTATAGATGTAACAGAGCTTTGTGAAGCAGTTTTAGCTTTACATCTTTTAAAAACTATAATTCGGGAAATATATATTGAATTCATGAAAATTTATTGTTTGACAGATTCCACATATGTTGCAAATCGTGTTTGTCGGAAAGACATTGACAATCATAATTGGTACTATGTGAAATCTGAGGAAAATTCCGCCGACTTAGATGGTCGAGGAATATCTCCAGAATTGTCTGCCTCACGCCTATACACTATAGGCCAAATGACCGTTTTTTCTGTGCAAAATAGAAAAAATCAAAGTGTCGTTCTTCTCGAGTTGTTGTTGTTTTTGTATTTAGAACACTCTAAAATAGAGACGCGTGATATTTATTAGTGCTAAATATAAAGTACCGTTACACATCTGGCCGTGCAAGTCGCTCAATACAATTTATTCTAAAAATATACATATATTTCTATGGTGCTTAGTCAAATTTGAGTGTGTATTATTTCGATTGTGTTTACAATAATTAATTAGTGTAAAATGGAAAATATAGATACAAGTATGGATATTTATATTAAATCAAAAAATTTTTATGTTTGCGACACTATACTTGAAAATAACCCTTTTAGCCTATGAAGACTTTAAAGAGTTAAAGTAATTTGATAGATTGACTTTCAGTAAGCTACTAAAAAAATGACCCAATATGACCTCATTGAAATTTTGCACATAAATTAAGTGATAAGTAATGAGTTAATTTAAATTTATTTCAAGTTCCTCCGTATAAAAAATCGACCTTTTTGAAATATGGCGAAAAGAAGGTAACAAAAAGAAAAAATGTGGTGCTGTTTTCAAGCATGTAGTGAACAAAATTCATGTTGACAAACATTTTCCGATGAAAGAGAGAAATTTTTAAAGGAAATAGTACATTTATTTTGCTTAAAATTAGTACAAAATTGGGAAAAATGTCACAGAAAGATGAAAGTTTTCAAAGAAAAAAATCATGAATAAGCTATTAGGCATATTGAATAGCGCTATCGATACTTTTCATCCATTTCCTTAGCATTTTTAAATAGACGCATACAAATGCGAAAACCATCCACACTTCCTCTTGAAGCCCTTGAATTGTTATGTTGCAGCGAGCTTATGGACAATTTTGATCTTAGCAATCAAGACGAAATTGATGAAATGGATGAAGTTTTTGATTTAAATTTGCAAAATAATTAGATTTAAGCTATTAATAATTACATTGTATATAATACTAGGTATAGCAATATAATACCCGGCAAACGTTGTTTTGCCGTATCAGAATTGCATCAATTTAGGTTTGGTAAAAATTAACGAATTCATGAAAGGTCAAGTTTTGATCTAACTACTCATGTCAAGTTTTTATCTAACTACTCTTACCACAAGAGATAATTTAGTATGGATGGCGTACTATTCCTATTTTGATCGCAATGAAATCATCAAAATTGGTGCAGGCGTTCTTGAATTATAAAAGGTGTAAATAACACAACATTCAAAATTTTCTTCGATTAAAAAAACTGTGAGTCAAATTGGGGCAGTCGTTCTCAATGAAAATATATTTGATCATATAAGTTAGACACCTAGAGCAGATAACTGAAAGAAATTTTTAGTACTTTTCTGTAAATTGTCGTTTTAGTAACACTTTATAGTATATGACGCACATAATTGTAAGAAAATCGGTCAAGCCGTGTGTTTTCAAGATTTTCGCGTATTATTCTCAAAAATTTCTTTCATAAATTCCTTTCCACTTCAATTAAAGATAACTGAAAGACATTTTTAGTCAAATCGGTCCCTCCGTTCTCAAATTGATGAGTTACTTTAAGTTTTTTACATAATTTTTATAAGTAGATTTAAATTAATTTTACTTCAATTTGATAAGTTTTTTTTCGTTTGACCCCACGCTCTATTCAACAAACAGGTTATGCACGAATTGGTGTCGGAATACTTAACGCCGATTAAACACCCAATCTCTAATCGGGCAAAACGAAAAGAATCTATATAGAGCGTAATCTGTCGGACGAACTTAAAATTAAACAGAAACACTCCTCACGCCCCATAGAGCATATACATAAAGTTTGGTCAAAATCGGTGCAGTGGTTCTTGAGTTACGGTGCAAAAAAACTAAATGTTGCGCCATCTTTCGGATGAACTTCAAACAACATAGAAACACTCATCACGCCCAATAGAGCCTGTACATAAAATTTGGTAAAAATCGGTGCAGTAGTTTTTGAGTTTAGCGATCACGAACATACACCTAATTTTTATATATATATATATATAGAGATATAGAGATAGAGATAATAAAACAAGTTATTATTTGAATTCTAATGGTTTAATTTCATTATTTGTAATAGAGCACAAACCACAAAATAATAAATTTACGATATATATATATATATAAATATAGAGCATATATGAGATATATATCTAAATTAGATCTGATTTGAATCATACTTGGCAGAGGCATTTTTGATTTTCGTTATGATCGGGTGTATATTGTAATTTTGGCGTGGTTTAAACGTGAAATCGGATGGAACTTACAAGCCTATAAATCGCATACATTTTACGATGATCGGATTTATTTTATGGGTTTGGAGCTACTTAGACGTGAAATCGGATAGAACATATATATGATGGGA